AGCTGAAGTTGGAGCTTGCGCTGTCAGAGCCGCAGGTGCCGCCTTCGGCGCTTTCGCCGGCGTAGGCGCTTTCGCCCCCTTCTTCGCCGGTGCCTCAGCCCGAGCGCCGCAGCTGGTTGAAGGCTTTGCTGCTGCTGTTGCGTAAGAGCCAGCTGCAAGCGGGGGTCGGAGGAGCCTAGCCTCCAGAGCGTCAAAACGCTGTTGAAAGGCGGCCATCTCTCGCCGCATCAGGCCGAGAAAGTCGGCCTCCGTTGGCTGCGCCGGTTGGGGACGGCCTCCGCGAGCAGTGGCGAGCTCTGCCTTAGCTGCTCGGAGTTCAGCCTCCAAGGCCGAGTTCGCAGCCACCAATCGGGACAGTTCCCGTCGCATCCCGGCTAGCTCCTTATGCAGAGCAGCCATTTGCCGCCCCGTTGACCTCTGCTGGGCTACCGCCGACATAATGGCGGCTTCGGCGTGTTGAAGCACTCCGTATCTGCCAGCCTGGGTTTTCTGGCCAGCCACCGTACGAAGTGCTTCCTTCACTTCATTGCGAAGGCTCTCAGCGCCGCCTTCGCTTACAGAGCCCTCGCCGCCGGACACTTCAATCTCGGACGAGTCCGAGGGGGCGGCCCTTCCCAGGGCGCTCCCCTCCGCCGCTAGCCGCTCAACTGGCTCAGTGCGACTAACTACTGCCCTAGTGGAGCCCTTTCCTTTACCCCTTCCCCTCGCAGCCGTGGGGATTTTAGGGGCTGGGGCCTCCGGCTCGTTGGAGGACGGCTCTCGGCCATCCTCTAACCTAGGACGTTTAAAAACGCCCCGCTCTTTATGATGGCGCAGCGCGATGCCGACACCAGACAATGATGAGTCGGACTCCGAGTCCGACTCCTTCCTCCCCGGGGCCCGTAACCGGGATTTGCTGGGCACTTCTCCACGAGCCCGGGAGCCATTTCGGCCCTCACTGTCACATGCAAGCGAGCTGTGCTCGCTTGCCTTCTCCTGCACGTCTAATTTTTTATTTTTTTTAATATTTGTGTCTTCCATATCGGTCCCACGAGTATGGGGGAAATAAAAGGTCCACCCAGGGAGAGCCCCCTGTCCCTGGGTAAGTGTACATTTGTGTCCCAACCAGGGGGTCCACCGGTCCCCTAGCTGGGGGTGCGCTCACGACTGATGCTACTCCTCAGCCATACATACCATCGCCGCGCACCAGAACTTAGTATTGGAGGAATTTTTTATAGAGGTTGTCTTCCTCGCGGTCCGGGCGGTTAAGCCAAGACCCTCGTCCCGGTCCGAGTCATAAAACATGACCATGATCTCTTCCCGGATTACGATATCGACGGGTGCAGTCGGGCGCAACTAGTGCCCCGATGCTACTCGTTGGCAGGGTGAGTGCGCAACGAGCGCCGCCCTTGCTCCTCCGCTACGTTCTCTGCTAGGTCCAGAGGATCGTGCGGATGAACGCCCCCACAGAGGCGCAGGCCCTATGCCAGCACAGAGCAAGTCGCCTCTAGAACCCGACCGGGTTCTCCGCCCGGCCAGAAGTTCGCTGCGGGCGACAGTCAATCCAACCCTGAACCTATAAGCCTTGGTGATAAGATCGAATATCAATTCACTGCCAAAAAGTAGTTTTTTTGTTTTAAAACTACCCACCAAATATATGATTAATAACCACTAACAGTTATCCCAACTAGTTTTTATTAAAATAATAATAGACCCTTTTGCATATTTTAGAAATGTTTCTCGTAGACTACTTAATCGTGTTTGTGCTAAAATTAGCTTTGATATCAAAACATTAAGCTTCTCGGATTGTGAAATACCGGTTTGATTAGTTTTAACGATTTTAATGTAGTATAAATATTTTGTTTTTACTTTCTAATTTGCTTGTCGTGACCTACCGTCTGGTATCCGATGAAATGTGATATTCTAAGTGTTGAGAGTCAGATTCCATTGGTGTTGGATCCTTTTTTGTTCAGTTTAAAAGAAACACAAAAAATAGGTTTGCAAATTGGCGCTAGTGTTGCTTTCTTGTTAGTTGTTTCAGGTCAAACGCAATAAAGTATCGCGGACTGGAGCAGGAAATGGAACGGGGTGGTTCAGAGTCTGTTTCTCCCACAGTAATCAACCTATGGCCAATCTCAATAACTTATTGGTTGGTAGATTTGGCAATGAGACATGTCGTTTTGATAAGTTTTGTTAGGAGCTTATTTTAAAATTCTTTACAGCATCTCAAATGGATGGCAATGCCCTTGTAACTCCTTGATTTTGTGGCTGACCATAGACGGCTGGCGGCGAATGCGCTTACCATCAGATGACCAGGCTACTCGTTTGTCGACCAACCCGACAAAAAAATTAGCAGTTTGCTATACTTCGTAACTTTTAAACTTTCGCGTTTCATGTTTACAACATAATAAAATTATGCGGTCCAACCAGGCCGAAACGTCAAGCCTACCAAGGTATTTAAAAAAATTCTTTTCGCGTTAGTACCCGCGTTGTAGGTATTGACGGTTTTTCGACATTTACCATATGGATGTATAACTGATTAGGAATTTCAAGATGGTTATGTTTACAAATAACTGTTGACTGATGTTAACTGTTTTGTAAAAACAAGGATTTCGTGGTCCACGAATAACTTATCCATAATACCAATCGAACGGCGCCTGATTCCGAAATCTCTACCGATCTAGGTATGTACATGATTTGTAACGATTAGGACGGAGTATAATTATCACGATTTCGTGTTCAATCGTGATCGTGAATAAGGTGCGCCTGCTCTATTGTAATTGAACGTAGATCCCTACTATTGGTAAGAAGTAGGTATACCTATAACCTACCTAGGGTGCGGTTTAGGTACTTATAGACTTATAGTACCTAAATGTTTGATCTTAGCGATAAAATATGATTTGGTAGAAGGTGAAAATATCTACCCTTCGCGATCAGCGCGCGTCTCCAAAAACCCTCCCACCGCCATAGATCGGGCCAACTAGGAATGATGTCTCAATGTTGCGATTAACCGTGGGCCGGCTCGAAGCGGGAGAAAAAACGGGGTCGTCTTTAGTCAGTAAGAGTCTGACACTCTCTCACGCGCCACCCAGGATGTAGTAAAGGCAATGAGGATCTCTCCCTCAAATTTTTTATACATGCCACAAAATTAGGGTTTGTATAAAATATCATATTGTGTTATTTGTATTAGGTACTTAAATTAACTTTTCGTTAAGTATGCACATGATAGAGCAAAATTTTACACTATCTTGGTAGGCGCTTTATTTTTTATCCTTTCTTGCTATTTATTAATTCTCACTTCTTATTTACCTAAGTAAGTACCTTGCATGCCGAATACAATATATCAACTTCAACCCCTAGTTTGAGTTGGGATATATGCATTGATTATATCTTAGGTTTACTTAATTGAAATGTACGAAAAAAATACATAAAGATAATGAAAACAGCAAATAAAATAAAAGAACAATAGGTACAGATTTAACTAAAATCTTAACTTATTCATATACCTACCTATCATTATTTTTTACCTACTTGTATCTTCCCATCGCGCCGACATAAGTTACCTATTACTTAAGTCCAATTACATTACAACGTAACTATATACCTACGACACAATCTTCGATACGCAATCAAAACAAAAACACATCTCTATATAGAGAACCGGTTTAAATGAAACCTAAAAACTAAACATACACACTTCCTGAATCATAAAAGCTGTAATGATGTAAGTATCCACACTTCTGTTTAAGTAAACCTGTCCAAAATAATTTATCATTTCGGACCTATAAAAAACTGTTAATCCAAAACAGAAAAAATACTGCATGGTGATAGGGACTAAAACTACCTATTTAGGTATTATTCGTGAACATTTTTTAACAAGATTGTGAGAGCTACATAAGTGAAAATGTCGTAAATGTTTTATAAATACAGTAATTAGGGTAATTGCCGTCAGTTATACTTACCGGAAAACTGTTCTGTGTAGCTCATGCATTGAAGAGTCGGCTTACATCACAACATAGGTTTTATGACACAAACACCAGATCACTTGGGTCTTCGAGCCTTTACTTCCCGGAAGAACTACACCAAAACAGCTATGTACCCGGGATTTAAAATGAAAAGAATTAGTTCGAAATCGTATTAAAATCAGTTACTCGTTTCGCCGTATCGTAAAGTTTAAAATTCGAATATTACATAAAAACGCGTCGCAGAAAAAAAGCGTTAAGTTTAAAAAATCGATTTGCGCGTAAGTAGTGTAATTGCGCGGGTTTTCGACGTGCGCAACTCAAGCCGTGCATACAGCGTGTGAAGTGCCGTGCACGCTGTGCATCGCGTGCTTACATTATCCAGTAGGTACAAAGCATTGCGTGATTCCATTATGTATATACAGATCATGGTATTTTATGAAAGTTCATAACAAACAACAAATTAATGGTTTTGTTTGGTTTTTGGTAAGCGTAGTTGCGGTTGCAGTTCGATTGGTTCGAGTTATTTGTTGCGTGCGTGTAATGTTTTCATCATTTAGGTACTAACAATGCTCGATTAAGTAACGCTAAAATGTTTCTATTAAACGGATTTTTGAACTTTAGGAAGTGGAGCCGCGAAAAAAGCGATAAAAGTACCTGGATACAAAACTAGGTCGTCTACAAAGTAGAAGCGTGTACATAAGCTTGCGGATTACTTAATGGTAAGTTAATTAAACCCCCAACACCAAGAGACGAGGCCGTTATAGGCCTTTTGAGGATTAGGGATTTGGGTATGGCAGATGGTAGGAGATGGGAGAGCGGGTTTGAACCTCTGGTAACTTCATTCGCAAGGCAAAACACCAGACGGTTTTTGTTTCACGCCGGATTTCTGTTGAGGTCGTGATGCCGATTTGGTCGAGCCGGCATTACGTGTATGCATTCGAGTATTCTTCACTTTCAACACTACATCACACTAAGTCCCAGAGTAAAATGTAACTTTACATCATGGTGTGATAATGACTAATAAATGCTAGGTGTAACAAAAAAAAACAACAAACATATAAAATAATGAAAATTTATTGGAATAATCTAACTAACATACTAATCTATAAGAAATATATCGCCCGGCCGTCTCTGATGATCGGATGATTTTCACCACCTGAGGAAAAAAATTAAAAATAAATATAGCTGTTGAAAATGGTACATTTTTTTTTCTCAATATAAACGTTGCCCTATACTAGGTTTGTCCCCTGTGTCTTGTTGTGGGTGCTTTTATACATACACAACACCCAGACCCGGACCATTAAATAGTAAATCACGCAGTTTTTCCTTGTGGGAATCATACCCACGAAACGTTGCCCAGCCACCGCAAAGTTTGTGCGAATCTATGGATGTATGTTTGTTATTCTTTCACAATAAACGGCTGGACCGATTTGGTAGAAATTTGATATGTAGATACGTGATATCTTGGAGTAACACATAGTGTGTTTTATATCAACATACCACCCGGGCAAAGCCGCGGCTTGTAGCTACTATAAGACTATTTATAAAGCGAACAATCTAACTTATAAGGGGAAATTAGCTTAAGATTATGAGCAAAATGTTATCTAATTGGTCCTAGATTCACAGCAGTAAACATTATGCAAGACCATGATGTTACGACATTTCTTGTTTTATTGCTGCTCTACTTCAGATCACTCAGGTTTTCTGCACGACAATCAGCATAGATAATTAATAATATGTCCATAACGCGTCTTCATACGTAATAACTCTATTCGTGTGTTAAATTTTTACAAAGAGTATTGAATAAATGGAGTGAGCAAAAATTTACATAATATGTATTATGTATTATTTAAATATATATATATATATATATATATATATATATATATATATATATATATATATATATATATATATATATATATATATGTATCATTAATACATAATATGTATATGTATTATTAACGTATGTATTGCGAAGTTAGTAACTACTAACTGAATTGTCTAGACTGACTTTTTTGTGATTTTTAATCTAAGTGGCGCTTTTTGCATGTGGGATCTAATTCTCTTAAGTTTTTATAACCGCAACAGCGTCCTTATAAACCACCTCGCAACAATACTAAAGAAAATTAAAACTATTGTTATTCAATAAAAAAAGTCAGTCTCTAGAAAAATATAAGCTAGGAGGTCTATCTGGGTACTTCACGATGTCGATAGATATCTTAAAAATAAAATAAAATAGAGGAATTTCAACTGCTTGTGATGTTGTGGATGTCAAATGTTTAACTATTTGTTGGATCAAACTCAAGGAAGTTAAGTATTTGACTTGAGTTTGTTACCGTGTTAAATATAGAAATTATGTGATATTAGCTACTTTCGTGCATTTTTTTCACAGCTGTCTGTTATTCGTCACAGCGCGATGTTAGACCATCGTCGATAAATTGACAATACAATACAAAAAAATAATGCCTTGACAAACTATATTCGGATTTCGGAGAGTAGCGATTTCCAAGAAAAAACTTTAAAATATTAACATAGATTAAAAACAACTATTGTGTGACAAATTAAATATGCATTGTAAATAAAAAGTTTAATCAATAAAACGTTTTATAAAATTTCTTAGTTTGTAATCTTCATCAACTACTTGGCACTCCATTTACTATTTACTCTTTGGCACAAGTAACGTGCAAAGTTGGTATCGACATGCAAACTCGAAAGCGAAGCGTATTCAAATCATAGATACGCACAATTTTGCATAAATAATAATTTGTTACTTGTATGGTTTTGACTGATGACTTTTGCGTGATTGTTTGGTACATTAATTTTATATTTCACATTCATGTTGAACAAGTTTATCAACTACGTTCGTAACAAGGCCTAATTACTTTACTTGAGAGTATTAATTGGTATTATTGTTTCTACTGTTTTATCTGAGTAAGAGCTGATATTGAAATATATGTTTGTTTATTTTTTATTGTAACTATTTGATTGATGCGCTTTAGTTAAGCTGCTGTGACAAACTGTGTACAAAAGTGATATCCAATTTTTTTTAACGTTTTCAATACAGGAAACGTTTCCATTTTGGCCCCACTAGATGGCGCTTATGAGCTATTAGGTCTTTTTATCAATTTAGCTCTTAAAATCTTCACTTAATTTTCCGCTAACAGTTCTAGTACTGAATACAAGTAGAATAAGTTTTAGAAATATTCAGTTTACAACTAACCTGTCCTCTCTTCAGTCCAAAGTATCTCGCCACTGGGTCACCAGCCTGTATCCTCATCAACATGTTCTCCTTCAATTTACTGTGTCATTTGTTCAGGAAAAATTGTTTATACACAATATCTATATATATAAAAGAAAGTCGTGTTAGTTACTCCACTTATAACTCAAGAATGGCTGAACCGATTTAGCTGAAAATTGGTAGGGAGGTATTTTAGAGCCATGAGAAGTATAAAGGATAGAGTAGGTAGTGTAGGTTAGGTAGAGTAGGGTAGGTAGAGTAGGGTAGGTAGAGTAGGTTAGGTAGAGTAGGGTAGGTAGAGTAGGGTAGGTAGAGTAGGGTAGGTAGAGTAGGGTAGGTAGAGTAGGGTAGGTAGTCAAATAACGGGAGCGACGCCTCGGGTAAGAGCTAGCATACAATAAAAAAGAAGAAACTGAGCACGAAAATTATTGAAATATCGATTCCGCCTAGCCCATTCTGCTCGTACCATCAGACATTGGGCAAAACGTTATCGCTTCATGGTGGATATCCCACCCACACACACGCGCGAAGCGGTTTGCCTCCAGGTTTCTTTTTAACCCCCGACGAAAAAGAGGGGTGTTATAAGTTTGACGTGTCTGTCTGGGGCATCATAGCTTCTGAACGAATGAACTAATTTTAATTTAGATTTTATTTGATAGGATGGCAAACAAGCGTACTAATTACCGTATGGTAGGCATTCAGCGCTGCCCATTGACGCCCGCAACAACATCGGAGGAATTACATACACACACGAGAATTAGAAATTGAGGTGGGATGGGAAAGAGGAAGGACTGGGTCTTTGTTTGCATGTAGGTACTATGGTTTATTTTTACTTTGTAGTGCAATTAGAGCTAAATAATCTTCTTGTAGTGATAGTTTGGTGACAATTTACTAACCTTATTAGCTCACATTTCCTCACACTGACATAGACAAAGATAACAGTTTCTTTGTTTACCTTCTATTCTTATTTTAAAAAAGGATACTATCTAGTCAGGAGTTCCGCTTTCTCATCAGGAGTGAGCACAATGTGTTCAGGCACCAGTTCATGCTCAGTGATATTGATCAGGAGCTCAGACTCCAGGAATTGTTCTAAAATGTACTTCGGTGCCATGTCTACTAATGACTGCTTTGCTGATGGTGTCATACCTGGAAAATACAATGTAATTGTTTAAAAAATATATTTTAAACTAAGAACTTAGTAAGAGCTTTAAGTGTGGGAAAGACTTGCTTCTGCACCAATGGGTCGGCTCAAAGTGGTTGGTTGGATTGATACCATGGCCTCACAGAAAACCGACATGAACCAAAGCGGCCTGCGGCGTTGTGTGAAACACAACATTGTGATGTTATTTCAATACTTAATATCCAAAACCTCTAAAGGCCTCCAAAAGCCCAGCAATGCACTTCTGACTTATTTTGTTCTGATTATCAAGTAATATACATACCAGCTTGCACAACAACAATAGCTCTATGGATATTTTCTTCCTGCATTCTAGTACAATAAGTTTTGATAGTCTTGATCCCGATTTTAGGCTCATCAGGGAAGAAAACAAACATTTGATCAGTTGGGTCATCATTGTGAGCTACCAGCACAATCAAATCACTTCTTGCTGGCCGCTTCTCACTGTAATCAGAATATAAAAAAAAATATCAAACAAATTCGTTGTATGTATAGCTGAAGGTCTGGATTAAAACCTCAATGAGTAAATAGCTTTTTACACATTTTGACTTGGCCATAAATAAATATAAACTTTGACAACTATCTACAAATGTCATTTTGGATTAAAAATTAAAATGTCAAAATCATCTGATTGATTTGAATTTACTTCTATAAATAAATAGAAAAATTCTATACTAGATTTTTTCACTGACAGGAGAATTGATTTACTATAAAATGCGAAATTCATAATAAAGCCAATATGGAAGTCTTGGATCAGAAAATAAAGAAAACTTTAATTGAGCGAACAGTGTCAGAGACCACTAGACTTTATATTGGTAAGTGTCGATAATGATATAGTTAATTACATTTAATCATACTTATATTAAAATGTAAGTTTGTCAGAATGTATGGATGTATGTTTGTATTTCTTTTACACTAAAACGGCTGGATCAATTCAGTTGAAAGTTGGTATTGTCCACATATAATATGTGATACCTTGAATTGTTACATAGGCTACATTTTATCAATATACAACGCGGGCAGTGGTGCAAGCGGAAGCTAGCTTGTACTTATTTCTATTTTGTTATTCATAATCAGTAAAAGTCAGACTGCCAGTTTTAAAAATAGCCTCAACTAATAAGTTTTCTAGTTAGGTGAATTTTCATCCAGAGGTTTGCTGCGATCTTTATCGGATCTTCTGTTCGCTTTATTTATTTATTAATAATATAAGTATAGTGCCCCTTAATTTCTAAGTGAGAAATTATAACATGAGAATGTGTTTATACCTTGGTTTGTCGCCGAATTGCTCTTTGAACTGTTCTAGCGTTTGATCCAATTCATCCTGCGTCACTAAGTATCCACGATCGTGGCATAACTGCAACAAAATAATTGAAAACTTAATTAGGTACTTCCATTAACAAAAACTCAAACATAGGTGTTTCGCCACAGTGTAGTTAATTACATTTAGTAAGTAAACTAATCAATTCTTGTATTAACTCTTATGTATAAGCTATATTTTTTAATTATCAATTTCTTCTTTGATAATTACTATTTTTTCTTTGATAAATTATCAATGTTTTAATAGTTTCTATACACAACATAACCTCACTTACCTGCATAACTGTTTTACGGATTCGCCAAAGCTTGTATGTTTCTGCATCGTCATCCATGGTGTTTACTTAATAATAAGATTAATATAGTCCCAAGTATTCACTTAAATGTATTGTATTTTTATTTGGAAAATGTTAAAGAACGCGACACCCAAACATGAACAAACATGCAAGTGACAAGTGTGAAGTGTCGTTTTTAGTTAGTGATGTACATAGTTGTTTATAGATAGTCAAGTCTAACTATATAGGTTATCAAAGTAGTGAATTTATTAATTTGACTAGTAATTATTGTTTTAACAAACATGAATGCAGTAAATAATTTTATAGTAATGCCATGTAATCTTTTATTTCCAATTTATTAGTTTCTCGACTAATTCTCTGTGTTTTAGTGATTATAATCTGTACCAAAGTGATAGTATATCATAGAGTAGGCAGAAGGAGACAGTAGATATTTCAGTGAAGTTTCGTTCGTTTCACTATTTCATTAGAATTTGCCTTTTTGTTGAATGTTATCTTGATAACAACAAAAACTAACGAAAATGGCTGGAATTAAGGGTATGTAAAAAGAACTGAAACTAAAAATTGATCCATTTTAATTATATGTAACTAGATTGCAAAATAATGTCATCTTAGTAGATTGAATGACTCATGTTATTTACAAATAAATTTTGTTAAATTCTCAATATTTCAGTTGTTTAACTTTATAATTTTTCTTTTTCATGTACTTTTCATCATTGCGATGGTTCAGGGTAAGTTTTTTAATCACAATTCCGGTGTAAAAAGATGTTACAACAAAATAAATGTTGTTTTACATCACTGCTGTTATTGACATAAATAATATTTTGATGTTAAGTTCGACTATCTAGTGATAAATTTTGTCATCAACAAAGAACTCCTATAGCTTAGTGAACCCATTGTGTTGTGTTGGACTCGCATTTATATTGATGTAATGATTATATTTGTTATGATGACCTAGTCATTACTCTTAAGATGATGAAGCTTATTTATGCTTTTAAGTACTAAATACTATTTCTTTCTCATGATCATCTAAAATAATATTATCTATGAAATAAAAATAATATTTTAACTAAACACCCTCCTCTATAATTTGTTGATAAACAAACATAATATTCCTAAACCAACTGGATCATTGACACCTTTCCCAATGCATTCTAATAGGAATCAAAAGTAATATTTTTGTTTGCTATTATTTCTTAATTAAATTAATATGAAAATTGACTTTTTGTTTTGCAGTTTGGTGTCCCTGGCTTTTGCTGGTTCCATTGGAATGACATTTGTTATTCTCGCCTGTGCCTTACCACAATATAAGTAAGTAAATATTTGTTTTATTTTATGATTGAAAAGAACAACTAACGGAGACAATACAATACATTGTGTATTGTGTTGTATTAGAGTTAATAGTTGTATTGTATTTGTGTATATTGTTGTTATCAAATTAATTTACACAATAATCTTTTTTATGTGGACTAAAGAGCAATAACTGAATAGGGTTGGCTATGTGGCAAAGTGTTTTAGAGTTTATCTTTCAATAGTGGCACTTGAGACAGGTTTGTAAACTCCGGCATTTGTCTGGGTTTCAGGTTTGATGAATTAAGCTCACATGACACAATGCCTTGATGTTAAAAAATTACAGAAGTCAGAAATGTTCAGAAAACAAAACATAATTCTCTGCATCCTTGTTAAATATTATTTTTAACTCATTCATATTGCATATATTATGTGACAGAGAAGTCAGGAAATGCCAAACTTATCATAACATCCTAGAATGCCCTATTTTGCATCCCATTTATGGAAATAAATATCATTTATTTTTGTGAATGTTTTCAATATCGATGGTTTTCTGACTCCTTTGCTTTGATCAGAATACAATAGATGCAGTTTGTTGCAACTAAACATCCTGCATCCTGTTGACTGATAGATATGCAATGCAAATGGGTCAGAATGCAGAAAAAATAAGAATTTCTCTGTTAATGTTGAAAAAAAATTGGTTGTAATTTACAGTAAATTTTGTGTATCAACTTAGGACATTGACATTATTCAATACTAAAGCTAAATGGAAGAATGAGCAAAAGAATATTAGATTTATTAAAGGTAACTTCTTGCGTTTTGTAAATATTTATTAAAATAATCAAATCATTTTAATTTTATCTGTAACAGACTATGGTGGCCATTCTTCGTGGTCCTGTTCTACGTGTTGTCTCCCATACCAACAATGATTGCACGCCGCCACACAGATAGCGCTGGAGGTAACTCTCCCTGCATGGAGACAGCAGTCTTCATCACAATGGGTTTCCTTGTCAGCTCCTTTGCTCTTCCAATAGTTCTGGCTCGTGCTGGTGTGGTATGTATAATTAATCCTGCCTATAATCCATTCACATAAAATTTGACACACCAACATCCATCTATTTACTGATTCTGAATATGATCTAGCTTCTTAAAATCATAGATTCATAAAAAAACATTCAATAATTTCAATCAAATCAAGGTCTTTATTGCATCTATAGTGTAGGTACAGTTACAGTTAAGGTCCAGATTTTAATCGATGTTCCAACTATAGGATTGATTGATTTTATTGATTGTAAATTTTTATATAATTTAGAAGTTAAGGGATATGTACAATATTTTTTATTATAAATGACTAATCAAATTCTTTTGAAATGAAATAATTGGGTATTCATATGACATACTTATTCTATATTTTTACGAAATTATAAATCCATTTATTACATTACAGATTGAACTGGGTGCCTGCTACCTAACACTGGCAGGAAATGTCATAGTATACCTCACCATTCTTGGTTTCTTCACCATCTTTGACATGGACGACTCTGACTACACGATGTGGTGAGAAATCTAAATGTTGTTGCAACTTGAATGGACGATCTTAGGCAAATAATATATTGTATCGTAAGATAAAGTTGTGGTTTTGTTTATGATTAAGTCTGATAATGATACTGATAGTGTAACACTGAAGGTGGTCTATGAAGAATGATGTTAAACAATATTTTTTCTTTTAAATTTATGAATTTCGAAGTTAAGAAACATCTGTTAATGCTGTCCAGTATTTGGAGTAGTTTATGTACTCATAGAAATATATTTTAACTGTCTTTGAATGGTTACGGTGACAGCTCATAGCTGCAATTATTTAGATTTCACATTATAACAGTTTGTGATGTAGATATTTTGTTATGAATAACAGCTTTATTTAAAAATAATATTGTCTAGTGAATATTTATCTACTTATTTGTAATCATTAACTACTTAAAATTATTTTTGTTAATTAAAATTACATACCATTTGCAGTTAAGAACTATCACCTCTATGATTGGAGTACTGATATTTATTATATACTAGTATCTGTTAAAACAATCAACATACTTTATTTGATTTTTATAATATAACATGTTACTCACATATTTAACAAATATTATTCTATTTGTTACTATTTAAACTTGGATTAAGAAAAATTTTAGTGTAAGAGATCATAATTGGAGATATTTTTTTATTACCAAATGGAAATTCACAACAACAAACAAACAATATTGTATACTTTTGAAATGAGCTTTTATCTTGAATATAAAGAAATGAATATTGCTTGCTAGAGTTGTTTAGGTGCAATGAAATAACAATTTTATTTGACAGCTGAATAATATGTTGGTTGTAGTGTTTGTTTTCTTTTTATGTAAATAATTTAAACAGTGGAGTGAGATATTGTTAATATTTGCCGTGTGCAATATAAATGAAATTGAAATTTCTTAACTTTTTATCCCAAGATACGCAACTTTTAACGAAAATTTAAGGAAAATCCTAACTATATAATTTCTTTAAAACTTTCCTATGTTTTGGCCGATTTTTCAATTGTTATATTGCATACAGGCCATTCTTTTCTAGTCTAACTATTAAAATGTTTTACTGTCACTAAAAAGGATGCGTATTTCTGGATCGGGATAATCAACTATTTAATTAAATGGCTTCCCAAGAAGGAGGTTATATAATACCTACTTCGGTTTTTAAAGATTCCAAAGAAGATGTGTATTTTGTTGCCATGCTTCACTTCAAGGCTGAAAAAAAGTGTATCGCAACGCATTGCGGTTTTTGCTAACTTTTAGAAATTACTATTTATTATAATGACGCGTGATGAAAAGTGCAACAACATACTAAAATCATTCCACTGTGACTCCATTATAAATATACAGGAACAGGCACCTAAATTTAAAAAAAATATGATTGGAAAATTAACAACACCAAATTGAAATCTTCAAATGTAACTTGTAACAATTACATTCCTGCAATGTAAAATGTGTAAATATAGCATTAGAATCAGGTCACAATAAAAATATCAGCTGCTTTTTCATTTTTGTTTCATTAAAAATGTTGTTCCCATTTCCCTGGGTGTTAATTTTTTTTCTTTGTCTTGACTTGTGGTGTGTTTGTTATACAAAATAACTACCTAAATAATTAGTTCCTCCACAGTCAATAAGCCAAACCTTCTAATCCCCAAAGGTCTAAGCATATTCCATGAGATTCCCACCTTTCTCTAGATAAGATTTTAACAAAAACAAAACTATTTTATTATTTAGTTGTTTTAAACTAAATAAGTAAAATTATTAAACTATATTATTACCTCAATACTATCGACCTCTCGTGTCCGGCCCTAGTCGAGGCCATGGTGCAAAGCGAAAGGAACTGGGAAGCCGTACTGTTTCGCATACCTCAAAGATCCAAAAGATCACCACAAATGGGGCCCAACAGGACCGCTATTTAGGCGGGGTCAGCCGGGGTTAGAGGTCAAGCGCAATAAGGTACCATGGTCCCGCCTGGAGTAGCTAGGAATAAAAACAGGGTGGTTTTAGTTACTAAGAGTTTGTTACTTCCTCTCGCCTCATCCTGGGCGAGATAAGTACCTATTTTAAATTTAGTGATTTTCCCACCTCAAAAAAGACCTCAATGATATCAGACATAAATAATATTATGAAAAATGTATTGTGTTACTTATTAACTAGATATCGATTGTAGAAATGCGATTAACATATTCAAAAACCTTTCTAGGAAATTGATTTTGCTGAAAGGACCAAATTGTAAGTGGTCCTGGATTCCGGACGTCTGGCATCTTAAACTGTTGTCAGGTATATAATTGAGGATGTAAAGGCAAAGCCTTGCACAGGTATTGTTCATAACGAAATTTTATGAACTAACTGAAAGCATGTAACAAAAAAAGTACAGAAAGGCAATAAAAAAATTGTTTCTGTGTTAAAACGTGTCAATTTTAACGTGTTTTCTGTGATAACTTCTTACCGTGAAAAGGAACGTAAATTAATCATCTTCCGCTGATTTGACGTTTTACACACGTCAAAATTCGTAGGACCCACTGTGATTGTACCGCACCCACTAGTTTTCCTTAAAATTTTACTGTAATTTGAAATAGAACAGTATTTAGTGAAATTTAAATATGGGTGATCATTTACCAGCTTGTGTCATCGATGTCGGCACGGGCTACACGAAGCTCGGCTTTGCCGGCAACAAGGAACCGCAGTTTATCATTCCGTCAGCCATAGCGATAAAAGAAACTGCCAAAGTTGGTGACCAAAGCACTCGGCGTATGACTAAGGCAGTCGAGGATCTAGATTTTTTCATCGGCGATGAAGCCTTCGATGCCACCGGGTACTCTGTGAAGTATCCCGTACGCCACGGTTTGGTAGAAGATTGGGATCTAATGGAGCGTTACATTGAACAGTGTATCTTTAAATACTTGAGAGCGGAACCCGAAGATCACCACTTTCTGTTAACTGAGCCTCCACTAAACACGCCCGAAAACAGGGAGTACCTAGCTGAGATTATGTTTGAGTCATTTAACGTGCCAGGTCTGTATATCGCTGTGCAAGCTGTGTTGGCGCTCGCTGCGTCCTGGAAGTCGCGTACATCCGCTGAACGTACGTTTACGGGTATTGTAGTCGACAGTGGTGATGGTGTCACCCATATTGTGCCTGTAGCTGAAGGATATGTCATTGGATCATGTATCAAACACATACCCATTGCTGGTCGTAATATTACCTCCTTTATTCAATCTCTACTTCGTGAACGTGAAGTAGGCATCCCACCAGAACAAAGCTTGGAGACTGCTAAAGCTATTAAGGAGAGATACAGTTACATTTGCCCTGATATAGCAAAGGAGTTTGCTAAATATGATGCAGACCCTGGTAAATGGATGAAAAATTACACTGGTATTAATGCTATTACTAAAAACCCATTCTCTGTTGATGTTGGTTATGAGAGGTTCCTGGGACCAGAGATATTCTTCCACCCTGAATTCTCCAATGCTGACTTCACTGTGCCTCTAAATGAGATGGTAGATGAAGTTATCCAGTCATGCCCCATTGATGTTAGAAGAGGGTTATATGGCAACATTGTGTTGTCTGGTGGATCAACTATGTTCCGGGACTTTGGCAGGAGACTGCAGCGTGACATCAAGAGGACTGTTGATGCAAGACTGAAGCTGTCTACTACACTGTCAGAAGGACGCATTACGCCTAAGCCAGTTGATGTACAAGTTATATCACATAATATGCAGCGATATGCTGTGTGGTTCGGAGGCAGTATGTTGGGCTCTACTCCAGAGTTCTATCAGGTGTGCCACACGAAGCAGGCATACATGGAGTATGGCCCCAGCATCTGCAGGCACAACCCTGTATTCGGAACCATGACATAAATGTATATTGTAATTAATTGCCAGTATTCAGTCAATATGAATGTTGACTATTTTTAAGCAATTATGAATTTATAATTTTAAGATTATTTTACTTAAAGAGACTTATTAAGTATGCCTATTTTATAAGTGTAACTAAATAATAGCTACATGAAATATTGGAGCATTGTATTTGTAAAGAACTTTTAATTCCACCATTATGTTTATGATTATATTCAAATATTCAATTCATGTAACATGTAATGTCTTTGCTGGATTTTATTAAGAGGCATTTAATATTGCATTCCAGCTTTTTACCAAATATAGAGTCTTGATATAAGTTTATTTCTTTATTTACTGTGGTCCTCACCCTGAAACTATCATAGTTGTAAATCACATAAAATATTCAATGTAAACAATAATATTAAATATATATTTTATCAAATAGGATTGTAAAATACTACAATAACCTAACCATTGCCTCAATTCCTTATCTTTTCCTTTAGTCTAAATGAATCATAAGTATTACACCAGATGGCGCTGTTTTCACACGGGCTTCACCCGTATGTATTGTTCATTTATTAGTCTTGGTCACAATTTAAAACGTTTTTGATAATACCTATGTAGGTAAATAATTGCGATTGATGACCTCGAGTATTATTGCCTATATGTATAGAGTAGAAATATCTATATACAGTTAACTCGAGAATTTTAGTGTTTCGAACGAGAGAGTGAGTCTACAAAACAATTTAATTTTAGGTCAGTAGGTGATAGGGTATTTTATTTAGATATTTATGGTCAGTCTACGATTTTTTAGACAATACATTTTATTTTAAGGTTACAATGTGCTTATTTAAGTGCAACAATTACAGGCTAACACCACATGCATACCTAATTGGTTTTACCTACTATGTGTATGTAGGGTAGCCAGTAGTCTTACTTTTTTGTAGTGTTCAAATCAATTATCAAATGACTTCTGGCACTAAGTTGGGTGAGAGGAAGTGTCATAACTGCCTAAAACGACACCATTTCTGTCCTTGTTCTGTTGTGCCGAGCCTACATTATTGCGTTTGCCCTCAAAACCCGGCTGGACATCAGCCTCAGAGGCGCCATCTGTGTTGATATGATGACGTCTTGAGGCGCGCTATATAGGTACGGATTTTTTGTGAGGGGAAAATAGTCAAATATCTTCTCCAGCCCAGGGTGGGGCGGGAGGTAGTGTCAGATTCTTACTGACTAAAAACCTCCCCGTTCCTTCTCCTGCCGGCCGGCCGAGGCCGCGGTGCCTTATTGCGCTTACCCCGAAACAGCGGCACGCACTATACGCTCGAGTCTGATTTTGATCGGGTGGCAAGCTTCGGCAGCGCTTTTTCTATGCGGGGCATACCCCTACCCTATGATCCGTGTCCTGTCCTCCAGGTGGTACTCGCAATGATGTCACCTGGGCTTTTCATCGCGCTGATTCTGAAACAAGTATGGAAGGATTGAAGGTAGGTAAGGATGCCGTGGTGTCTATCTAGGCACTCGTCAAAGTCTTATCGCTGCGATAAGCCCGGCTCTCGCTTGAGACTATTCCTTTTAAGAAATTACACCTCATCCCGCTACCCACTAATCTAGTGCGGAAGGCAGCGGTGAATCAGCCCGGCGACACGCCTCAGTGCTCAGCCCATAAACTGAAAACGCGCTCACGTGCGTTTGGCTCCAGATATCAAGGATGTGGCTGAAAGTCGATACCTACCAGGTCAATTCAAACAAATCTCATGGAAGCGCAAAATACCCATAAGATATATTGTTTTTAAATATTAGCTAGTTTTTAGGTGTACCTACATTTGTGCTTGATTACAATTATTGCATTTGGAAGTCTTTTAATATTGTGGGAACTACGGAAAATATTGCGTAGAAAATGTACAGAAACTTTGAATAGGTAGGTAGGTAAGTAGTAGGTTTTACAGTTACATAGCAAGAGACTCACTCAACTATGACATACACTAGGCAGACAGTAGTAAGTTCATAAACTGAAAGAGGTCTGAATGAGGAGTGTGCTCTTTTCATAGTTTTCATTAGTCGTAGCTAATTAAAGTAGGTACGATCTGTCTCGGAGCTTGTAAGCCGATAATTTTACAGGATAGAAATGAAAAGGGTTGTCATCACCGAGTTAAAGACTTAAGTAGGTAGTAGGTACCTTGTATGTATCGCATACCTAGGTTATGTCCATCATACCTGGGTAATTTAAATAAGTAGTTTCTAGATTTTATTCGATTGCTAATGATATGTTTATAAATATTTACAGTAAATTAAATAATTTACTACACAGGGGTACAGTACCGTCAACAAAAAACTACCTCGGTATACCTATACGTTGAAATTTAGGAGACCGTTTTTAACTTCTTACTTACTAAATCATAACTTCAAAGCATTCAAGATCCCAAAGTAGGTACACTTCACTTCTGAATTTAATGTAAAAACGTACGTAGGTGTGTAGGAAATTCCTAATTTTATTATATTACTTACAATTAACAAAGTCTAATAAAACCTTTACACAGAAAACATAGCAACCCTACCAATATATCCAGCTGGCAAAACCAGGTGCTACCTACGCAAGCTGCAACTCGTTTTTACAAAGCACGCTCTCTAATTAGTGTTGTAGGTACCTACTCGGTTACACTCACACATAGGTAGTGTGCAAGCTTACCCGCCTGCCACAAAAGAGGCAATTTCCAAACGAATCCTTGCCAATTCCACGCCTCGGTGACACGTGCAGGATTCATTATAAGATTTACTATTTATTTTTTGGCGGTTTTTGTTTGAATTTGTGTGTGCCGATTCGTAGTACCCTCTAGGTACTCTTGTCAAGGTTACCGTAAAAGTCGACCAAAGCTGGACGTTGAAGATCCGCCTTGAGCAAGCGTGGTGATTAATGCTCAAACCTCCGTGTGAGAAGAGGCTCAGCAGTGGGCACTTACTTATAGGCTGATGAGTGAAGATGGTGTGAACTTACGGCATGTATTATTTACCCGGAGCATGCAGTAAAAAGCAGGATTACAATAATATTTAATACTAGCTACTCTCGCGTAGTTTCACCCGCTTCTCGGCCCCATTCAATTGTAGCGTGATGTTTTATAGCCTATAGCACTCAGGAACATTGTAGCTAGGTATATATCAGTGAAAGAATTTTGGAAATCCGATCAGCGGTTTTCACTATTGCGTTGCTGTTTGCTGGGATTAACAGTAGTATTGTAGTAAGTATTGTTTTGATTAAATCGGCTCATAAATGAAAAAGTTATGTCAATCTAAAGAATTGCATCATCACATTAAACTCAAATTAAAATGCCACAATATTTCATGATGATTGATAATGATGATGGGGTCCGATTCCGAGTAAGCCTATGCTATGCAATCACCATCAACAAAGCGCATGGACAAATGCTAGAAGTTGCGGGTTTGGATTTATCAATTAGCTGTTTTTCGCACGGTCAGCTTTATGCAGCTTTGTTGCGCGTGCGAACCGATTTGGATAAAATTTAGTACAGACATACTTTGAAACTCGAGAAAGGATAGGATAGTTTTTATCCCACAAAACTACAAGGAGAACACCCCGAAAGTCGTACGATTACGGGAACTATGTACCAAAAACCTGCCAAAAGTCACTATTTCCGGACGAAGGCGCTGGCAGAAGCTAGTTCTCAAATTTACAAAATACCTATGTCACTGTTTAGAGCTGTTTGTATTTAATTTATATGGTAAACTAGGTATCCTAGGCAGTTACACATTTTCTATTTGAGTGAGCTCATAAATACGACCTCTATCAAAGTCCTAGTGAAAAGCGTAGGCCGACTAGGTACCTACCCGAAGTGCCTACTGAGGTACCTTACCTTGACAAACTAAGGACTTACGTACCTACTGGTAGGATAGATCTTATTAGCACTTTCTTGTTATAAAATACAGAAGGTACCTACTCAAGTTTTTTACGGGACAGTTCAGCAAACGGATTGAGGCACCGCGACCTCGGCCCAGAGCAGGAGAAGGAACAGGGGGGTTTTTAGTCAGTAAGAGTCTGACACTTCCTCTCGCCCGGCCCTGGGCGGGAGAAGGCATTTGATGATTTTCCCCTTATAAAAAAAAAGTTCAGCAAACGGCGACGATACACCTAATGTTAAGCAAACAGAACAGCCCATGGACACTCGCAACACCGGAGCAGTTGCAAGTTCATTGCCTTGTTAGGAATTTGAGGATTGTTGATGGGGAGAAACGTGGCACAGGGTCATTTTCTACGAGGCCGTGGTATCCATCTGGTCGATACGAAGGTAATAAAAGTAAGAAGCTTAAGTACCAAAGTAGAGTCGATGATCGATTTTTTTTATGTAATAGGTCAGCAAACGAGCAGACAGATTACCTGATGATAAGCAATTAGCGCCGCCCATGGACGGAGTTACGAGGACGTTGCCGATCTTTTAGGGATTAGGGATTTAGGAGGGATTGGGCCTCCTGTAATCTCACTCATACGGCGAAACACAATGCTGTGGTTGTTTCACGCCGGTTTTCTGTGAGGCCGTGGCCGTGTTATCATTCCGGTCGAGCCGACCCATTCGTGCCAGAGCATGGCTCTCCCACACTTCGATATGGCTAATCTTGAATATTTTTTGTAAGAAGAACAGAGTCAGTGTTCCAATAATAAGCTTCAGAGCTCTTGTTCATTTTTGGAACTCTCTTTTGTTCCTTTTATTCAGTTTATTTGTCCAGAAAATACCAAGATGTGATTGGGGGGTAGGTACCTAATGAGTGAATCGTAAAGACCAGCCACAGCCAAACAAAATGCAATGTTTAAAATAATTTGGACCGTTACAATTTAAAAATACCAATATGCTTGAATTCCAACACTAAAATTTAAGTATCTAAGTAATAACAGTCAGGCGAAAAGCCCAAACAGCAAACATGCGTTGGTAAGTATGCCTAGTTGCGTCAGGCCAAGTTCCCAAACAAAATTACAAACTAATAGCCAATACAAGCAGTACATGTACTAACCTAATTTCGGGTTTCAAACTGCGTTA